TTCACATTGAGGAATACAAGACTGTGAAATTATGACTGTCGGATTGAAACAATGATTACTATAATCATGTAATATTTCCCACAGAATATAACAGAAAGTCAGTGTGCTCTGTGATATTGCACAAGAGCAAATAAAGCTTTAAATAACTGATGTCATCAGGGACATGTTTGGAACTAATTTTTCAAAGGGATATTGCATGATTATCAGTGAATATTATCCTTCGTAGCATAAATCTTGCACTTGCAAGCTCGTGCAATTCATGCAATAACCTTATACTATAAGTTATATGGTTTGCTACTGACCCCTACAGCCTCACCCTATAGATTTTACTAACCATCTATGGATACGTAGGAGGTCAAAAGCGAACTTCATATCGAATTTAACGCACACTGGACTTTTCTTGCCAAGTTTTGTATAAAATGTTAAAAATAAACAATGAAATAGAATAATAATAATAGTAGAACTGACATAATGATACCCCTATGAAATCTACTGACCCTGTACAGATCCATAGCACCATGTGACGACGTTAAACCAATCACACGTCACTATGCGATAATATAATATAGTATCAAATATTTAATGTATATTTCTTTGTAAAATAAAAATGCAATATTTGCCTACATTTTTACTTTTCTATATAAATATAGTTATTTATTATATACCTAAGAAGTATAGCATTTCCCATGAGTTGAAAATATTGCATCTTGATTGATATTGTATTTCATACCACATGTATCTCCTTAAAGTTTTGTATGCACTAGAGAGGTCCCTGGAAGAAGATGTTTGCATGGAAGAGGACAATAGATAAACAAGATGGAGAAAATGAACATTGCTTCCTTACTGCAGGCATTAGAGTTGCAGGCTGTATGCATCAAAGTTGTAGGAATTGGACAAAAAATAATCAAAGTTGTAGGAATTGGACAAAAAATAATCAATGTTGCTGAAATATTTGGTAAATATATAATATAGTTCAAAGCTCACCCAATATGATATACTGCTCAGGACAAAATTCCTCAATATGAGTGCAATAACCCTATATGATAGATGTTATAAAGCCCAAAAACAATTTATACTTTATCAGAAAGGTGAATCCCTTGAATATCTTAAAACAGGCATTACACATTATGTTACAAAATCTCAAGGAGAAGGCTTAAAAGCCCACTTTACTGTCAGTTACCATCATTAGATTATTAATCTAGAGATATTTTTATTTTTTTTTTACCAGTAATCATTTAAAAATTTATTTTCCTTTTTATGAGCAAATTCAAAATCAATAAGATGTTTAATTAAAGGCATAATAATAAATATGTACTTCTACTAAGGAGGGGGGGGGGGGGTTAACAACTTTACCATGAGGGTCTCACACAGTCTGACAAATAAATATGTCGTTTTTCTTTGAAATACATTTTAGGTTTTTATTTTTTATTTTACTTTCATCTAAAAGGTTTATATAACAGTAGTTATTGTTTAAGTTTTAACAATCTTAGTTACCAGATGGATACACTGATGATTTCTCTCTTTTATAAAAATTTTAAAATCAAAATTTGGATATCATTGACTGCCTTGGCTAATGATTGATTGTTGGTGTTAAATGGCACTTTCAGCATTCTTAGCTACATGTATATCATGACGGCCATTTTTTATTGGCCTAGGAAGCCAGAGTGAACCACTGACCTTTCACAGGAAATCTGCCATCCTGGTCCATTAAGATCGAAGTTGAACACACCTGCCACGTGCAGGGTTCAAATTCACAACCTCAATGTTAACAGGATTATGATACTATAATGAACTTCTTAGACCACTCAGCCACAAGTCCCCTTATTGGCTTCAGACCTGCCAACTCTCACGTTTATGGGGGGGGCTCGCCTGATATACTAACCATTGATTTTATGTAGAATCTTTTAGATAAAAGTTTCATTACATGTATCACATAAACTTAACATTATTGATGATTCAGGTCAAGGTAAAATAAATCCTGGCAGACAGACATGTACACCTTACAATTATTCGATACACCAAATATAGCTGACCTATTGCTATAAGTACTTTAAAAACAGACCAAAACACAAAAACATAACATTGACCAATGAACCATGAAAATGACGTCAATGTCAGATGATACCTGCCAGTTAGCTAGAAAAGTCAAAAAGTCTCAAAAGACCAATTTTTGTCTGAATTTGCATAAATTTTTACTCAACATTCTTTCTTTGTCTGAAATATTTTTAAAAATTCTTAACAAAGTATGAATTTGTCTAATAACGTTCTTGGAAGTGTCTTGATTAGTCTTGACCAATTCTTGACTGTCTTAAATTTGTCTCGATCAGTCTTGACATATTCTTGACATTCTTAATAATGTCTGAATATGTCTTGACACATTCTTGACAGTCTTAAAGCTGTCTGAATATATCTCGACACATTCTTGATGGTCTTAAAGATGTCTTGACACTATCTCAACAGTATAAATTTCGCCTGAATTGTGTATAGACACATTCCTGACAGTTTAAACACTTTCTTTTGCTGTTTTATACTCATTTCTATTATTGCTAAACTAAACTTAGAAGAATTAGGATACAATAATACATTGCTAATAATAAAAAGCCACATTTTGATACAATAATAGTTTATTTACCATATTAACATTGAACATTATGCATGAAGAATGATATATGTCTACAGTATGATTGGTTTTAATCATTTAGCAATTATTTATAAAATTTATAAATCAACATTTGTAATTATTTACCAACCCACATTTAAATTGGTTTATATCAACATACCCACATTTGTATTTGTTAATATTTTAAATTTCATACCCATATTTGTATTTATAAAAATATTTATATACCCAAATTTTTAATTATAAAAATATTTACATGCCCAACTTTTGTTTTTGTTGTAATAAGTGTAACTTGAAATAACAGTATATTCTAAAAAGAGAAATAAAGATAAAGATATATCATGTATATTGGTCATGATTTGTAAAACTCAGAATTGTCAAGTAAATTTAAGACACAATTCAAAATGTTCAGAATATGTCAAGCCATACTGAGAAAAAAAATTCGTAAGGGTTCCACGGAACCCAGTGTCTCGCCTACTTTTGCTGTTAATCGCAGGCTCAACAAAAATGAGATGAGGAAAAAATTTAATAAAAATATTCCTCTCGATACAATTTTTTTATTGTAAGAAGCTTCTGTCCAAGTTTGGTAAAAATCCAGGATAGTTTATGAATCTAATAAATGTTTTAAAAAATTTAAATGCAGACTGTATGTAATGTTAACTGGAAGAAAAACTAAGTCCATTTATAAGTAAAATATGGATAAACAAGTACAAAATTCTAATAAAAATTTCCTTCTAGATACTAGCTTTTGATCATAAACAAACTTCTGTCCATGTTTGGTACAAATCCAGGATAGTTTAAGAAAGTTATTAAAATTTTAAAAACTTTAACCACAGAGTGAATGTAATGTTTCCTGGCAGAAAAACTAAGTCCATTTATAAGTAAAATACGGAAAAACAGGAATTTTTTTTTTTTAATTTACTTCTGGATACTATCTTATGATCATAAACAAGCTTCTGTCCAAGTTTGGTAGAAATCCAGGATAGTTTGAGAAAGTTATTAAAATTTTAAAAACTTTAACCACAGAGTGAATGTAATGTTTCCTGGCAGAAAAACTAAGTCCATTTATAAGTAAAATATGGAAAAACAGGAATTTTTTGTTTACAAAATTTACTTCTGGATACTATCTTATGATCATAAACAAGCTTCTGTCCAAGTTTGGTAGAAATCCAGGATAGTTTAAGAAAGTTATTAAAATTTCAAAAACTTTAACCACAGAGTGAATATTTGTGGACGCCGCCGACGGAATGTAGGATTGCTATGTCTCGCTTTTTCGACAAAAGTCGAAGGCTCGACAAAAAAGAATGTTGAGAACCTGTCGAGAAATTTCAAGACAGTATTCAAATGTCGAGAATTTGTCGAGTAAATTTCAAACAAATTTAATATAAATCAGAAATTGTCAAAAAAAATTAAGACACAAGTCATACTTTTGGAGAATGTCGAGTAATTGTTTATACAAATTGAGACAAAAATTGGTCTTTTCAGACTTTTGTAGTGCAGACATGTACACCTTACAATTATTCTATACATCAAATATAGCTGACCTATTGCTATTAATACTTGAAAAACAGACCAAAACACAATAAAATGCTCCGCTGGGCGCAGCTTGATACGACCGCAGAGGTCCAACCCTGAACAGTTGGGGCAAGTATGGACACAACATTCAAGCTTGATACAGCACTGAATTTAGATTGTGATTAAATATTTGACACAGCATAGGTTTCTGACACAGAATGAATGTGGTCTAAGAACTTAAAAAAATTTAATTTACCTATTCAAACCATATCATTATTATTTGCTTTTATATATAAATCAGAAATAACCAATTTAAAAGGAAAATTTTAAAGAAAAATAAAATGCTCCACTGGGGCGCAGCTTGTTACGACCACAGAGGTCGAACACTGAACAGTAGGGGCAAGTATGGACACAACATTCAAGCTTGATACAGCACTGAATTTGGATTGTAATTAAATATTTGACACATCATAGGTTTCTGACACAGAAGGAATGTGGTCTAAGAACTTAAAAAATTTTTAATTTACCAATTCAAACCATATCATTATTATTTGCTTTTATATATAAATCAGAAATAACCAATTTAAAATGGAAAATTTTAAAGAAAAAAAAGAAAACCAACCGACCAACCCCAAATTTTTTGAACCCCCTTATGATTCATCACCCCCAACTCAATCCCAATCTTCCCTTTGTGGTATGGTACCTTGCAGTACAATTTCAGAGAGATCCATACACTTGAACACAAGTTATTGTCTGGAAACTAGAAAAATGCTTGTTTTTTGGCCCCTTTTTGGCCCCAAATTCCTAAACGTTTAAGGCAATTACCCCCAAACTCAAACCCAGCTTTCCCTTTGTGATATGGAACCTTGTAGTACAATTTCATAAAGATCCATACACTTACACACAAGTTATTGTCCTGAAACTAGAAAAATGCTTGTTTTTTGCCCCTTTTTTGGCCCCTAATTCCTAAATCATGAGGCAATTACCCCCATAATCAATCCCAGCCTTCCCTTTGTGGTATGGTAGGTTGCAGTACAATTTCAGAGAGATCCATACACTTGAACACAAGTTATTGTCTGGAAACTAGAAGAATGCTTATTTTTGGCCCCTTATTCCTAAACGTTTTGGGCAATTACACCCAAACTCAATTCCAGCTTTCCCTTTGTGATATGGAACCTTGTAGTACAATTTCAGGAAGATCCATACACTTATACACAAGTTAATATCATGAAACTAGAAAAATGCTTGTTTTTTGCCCCTTTTTTTGGCCCCTAATTCCTAAAATTTTGAGGCAATTACCCCCAAAATCAATCCCAGCATTCCCTTTGTGATATGGAAACTTGTGGTATAATGTCAGAGAGATCCATACACTTACACACAAGTTATGTCTGGAAGTTATTCCCAAACTCAAACCCAGCTTTCCCTTTGTGATATGGAACCTTGCAGAACAATTTCATAAAGATCCATACACTTACTTAGTAATTGTCCTGGAACTAGAAAAATGCTTGTTTTTTTGCCCTTTTATGGCCCCTAATTACTAAAATTTTGAGGGAATTACCCCCAAAATCAATCCCAGCCTTCCCTTTGTGATATGGTACCTTGTAGTACAATTTCATAAAGATCCATACACTAACACACAAGTTATTGTCATGAAACTAGAAAAATGCTTGTTTTTTGCCCCTTTTTGGCCCCTAATTCCTAAAATTTGGTGACTATTACCCCCAAAATCAATCCAAGCATTCCTTTTATGATATGGAACCTTGTGGTACAATGTCAGAGAGATCCATACACTTACACACAAGTTATGTCTTGAAGTTACAAAAATGCTTATTTTTGGCCCCTTTTTCCTTAACTGTTGATACCATAACCCCCAAAATCAATCCCAACCTTCCTTTTGTTGTATTGAACCTTATGGTAAAATTTCATAGAGATCCAATTTACTTAAACTAAAGTTATGTTGCGAAAACCAATGTGTCTTCGGACGACGACGACGCCAACGTCATACCAATATATGATCGCAAAATTTGTTTGCGGTCGTATAAAAACTTAACATTGACCAATGAACCATGAAAATGAGGTCAAGATCAGATGAAACCTGCCAGACTAACATGTACCCCTTACAATCATTCCTTACACTGCATATAGTTGACCTACTGAGGTCAAGATCAGATGAAACCTGCCAGACTAACATGTACCCCTTACAATCATTCCTTACACTGCATATAGTTGACCTACTGCTTATAATATCTGAGAAATGGACATAATAACCTAACTTTAACTTTGATCATTGATCCATGAAATGAGGTTGAGGTCAGAAGAACCCTGTCTGACAGACATGTAGACCTTGCAAGGAACCCATATAGCAAATATAGTTATCCTATTACTCATAATAAGTGAGAAATTCACATAACAAAAAAATATTTTTGTTTACAAGAAGTGACTAACCATGAAAATGAGGTCAAGGGCAATGGACATATGACAGACGTAAACTTCCTAACATAAAGTATCTGCATACAAGGTATGAAGCATCCAGGTCTTCTACCTTCTGAAATATACAAATAGTTTACGCTGCAGCCGGATAGTAATCCCTATGTCATAGAGGAGACGATAACTGTCAAAGAGTTAGAGATGAGTCATGTACCATATGTATACCAACAAAACAAATGGTAAGGCAAGTAAATCTGATGCCCTACTTATATGATTAATACCCTATTGGAAAATAAAATATTATAAAATATTAAGCTTAAACCGTCTGCAGAGCAGGACAAATACCCAAGCTTCCCCTCTTAGTATAAAAAAGGAAATGGCTCCTGTATTTTGATGCACTACAAATATTCACATCTTCATATTAAGGGCATACGATACAGTTACAGGGGAGGTAATCACGTTGCCAACATAAAATGTTATTTTTTTTGCGACGTCAAACTGCGACAGATCAGGAAAACATGCATTTTTCGACTTATTTTTATCATTCAGACTGATATAACTTGAAAACGAGTTCATGGACCCCTCTGTCTTAAAATGACATTAGGATTGATTACGTATGAAGATTATTTGTACCAATTTTTATGAAAAAGTCACCGATGAGATTTTTTAAAATTAGATAAGTATACAGCAAAAAATTCCGTTTTTTTTCCTAAAATCCTGAAAGTTTGATAAAAATTAATTATTTCCAAAGAATTGTTATAAAAAATTAGAGCATACTTATGTAAAAGAGATTTTCCAAATATTTTTACAAAAATCCTATTGTGTTTATCTTTTGAAACAAAAAAGTTAGGTATGTCTATCCAAAGGATAGAAATGTTCCAAAAAACGAAATTTTGAGTAAATGTCTAAAATTTCGACCCCATTTATCTCTTAAAGTAGCACATGAAGGTATATTTTTTATTACATAATTGCACTGACTAGGTGAAAAATAGCTTGTATGCAAATTTTCGTAAAAAAATCATCGTGGGATCAAAACTGTTATGTATGCCCTTAAGATCTATGTACAAAGTTTCGTGACATGATGAAATGTGTAGGATTTTGGTCCATAAAGTGCAAGTACTTAGGTGGCTTTGTCAATGGATCAGAATGGCGAATTAGTATCTTCAATCTGAGACTACCAGTAGTCTCAGATTCAATGTACACAGTTTCATCAAAATCTGATAAAGCACAAAGTACATATAGAATGGTAAGTTCAAGGGGCATGATTTGCAAGTACTAAATTGAGAAAAATATCCTTTCTGTTACAAAGTTTGCTTTAAATTTGACAAATGACTTGAAGACAGTTGGATAAATGGACAAACAAGCTGATAACTATATAATTTTTGTTTGTTGGGGGTATAATTATTTTGTTAGCTCTTTCTACTGATTATTAATGTGAATATCACATATAAACGGTGCATTAAATTTATGTGAAATGGAGAAGCTGTCTTAGGCCATGGTTTTTTAATTTGTTGGTTTACGGATTTTCAGATGAAAAATTTGGGTCGGCCCTTTGAAAAAAAAAAGAAAAAAATTATCTAACAAGATATGTATAAATAAGATATATATTTCAGCTTACAATTATATTTTTGGTATGGTATTTTGTCATCATTTCTTAAATTTTAGCTCCAAATATTATTGCTCAGCTGTTTTAAACATATATAATTTGAATGTCATTCGATATATAATTTTGAAAAAAGGGGGTATAAAATAAATGGTCATTGCATGAACAAGAAAAATCAGCTACACATTGCTTTTTATCAACTTTCAGAAAACATAGTGATTAATGAGCTTAAATCACGAAAAAATGTGAAATAAAAATTGCAAACACGTCGCACAAATCACTTTATCATCCGTGCCAAAGCAGGTAGACTCGTCCACCAGAAAGATGAAGATATCGGTTTCATGCTTTGTCAGGCAATCCCGTTTCATATATCCAAATGGACGATTTTTTTTTCTATCTATGAAACAAGAAAAGTCCAAATTTTTTGTGGATATCTCTTATTTTGACCTTGATGTCTTTCTCGTTTAGATGGGTTCATTTCATCTATGAGATGAAAAATCTACGAAATTATGATAACAGGCTTTTTGTAATGGGTTTTATTCATAGGTTTCGTTCCACAAAATTATTTGCACAAACAACATTTCAAGGTCAGTTATGATTGTCTATTTTTAGAAACACAAAATACAGATTATTTTTAAATTTTTATTTTTTTGAACACAATGAGTAATTATTTCTGTAAATGCTTAACATGCTAAAATAATGCATTTAATTTCATGAAAATGCTGCTAAGTTGATATTTTTATTTATATTTGTATTTGTTAGAGTCAGTGGGAATAAAAAAGCGTGAAATGTCAATTTAAATTTTTTTTCTGAAAATCGAAAAATAGGGTTGGCGGATCCATAAACCAACAAATTAAAAAAACCCTCGCCTTAAGTTTCATGAAAATCATGCAAGTAAAAAATCAACACCTTGTATATGACCTATATAACCATAATTACTATGTTATCATAATCACAAATTTAAAAATTTAAATAATCTTGTTTTAATATACAAAATCTGAAAACTTACCAAAAAAAAAGGGAGTTCCTCTTAAAGCTGGGTAAGATTGAAAAGACTGGAAAGGACAAACGACTGAATTGAGCATGGTAATTAAATATTCTCTCTTAACTTTAGAGTTGGGGAACAACTTAATAACTTTAAGCGCAATAAGTAATTTGTCAAAAATATACATATTTCATATTTCAATATAACACTAACCAAGAATAATACATACAGTCATTTTATAAGAGAAACATAGTTTATGTATAAGGAGGCTTGCTTCCGTAAGAGGTCAGTATTACAAATATACTTAAATAATAATAATGTTTCAAAATCAAAGTGCTTTGCCCATGATTTTATTTTCCAGCACTACCTGTAGTCAATGTCTTAGTTTTTCTTTATTGATTTTATCAAATTATAAAACCATGATCAAATCATGTATATATATATATATATCACCACACTTCAGAAATTTCTCTTTCCTGTTGTCACATAGCAGTAAATTCAGATCTCTCTTTCTCTTTTTATTCATAAACTGACACTATTCCACAAAACTTATCTGATTTATTTGATTAATCTGAAATTATAAAATGTGAACATGTTTTATCATTTTCAATTGAAAATCATTTGGACATTTTTAACATCTACTATAAATTATACATCATCAGGTATTTTCAGGCCTCTACAATGATTTATATTTGCACTTATCCCATCAGACAAGTAATGGCCAAAACTATTGTGTGTCCAAATGGAACTGTAACCCAAAAATATGATAGAATTCATTAGATTTAAAATAAAACAAGAGTGCACACCCTGAAATGTCTCACCTGCTTTACTGACCATGATTGATTTAATGTCCAAAGTCTTAAACATAAAGGTTTTACTGTGTGTAATCTGGTAAAAAGAATTGCTTTTGATTGCTTGAAATTGTGCTGTACAAAATTGTAACCTTTCAAAATTGTGCCACACACTTAAACCCCCATCAGGATTTTCAAAACTTGGTAGGTATGAAAAACCCATACCGTATAGTCGGCTATAAAAAATATGAAACAATTCAATTAGGAAAACTAACAGTCTAATTTATAACAAAATAAGTTACCAAAAAACAAATGTGACAGTCATGAACCAAACCACAACCAATGAATTACAGACTCCTGACTAGGGACAGGCACATAAAGAATGGGAAGTTGGAGTTGTCTTCCTTTGTTCATGATTGTACATTTGTAGTAATAAAATAATCTATTTTTATAAAAAGATTCATACACCATGCATTACTCATATAATTTTTAATCAAATAAATGCGGAATGTGTCTATGGGACACAGATGATGCCCCCGCTTGCATATAACGTTATAAAGGGATATAACTCTAGAACTGTAAAAGTGACACTACCCAAATTTGAACTTGATCTGAGTTTTGTGGTAATAAGCATTGTGCATAAGTTTCATAACATTTGGTTGAGGCAAACTAAAGTTAGAGAACAGAAACAAATATTTCAGGAATTTTTTCCATTTGTAAAGGGGCATAACTCTAGAACGGTAAAAGTGATGTCACCAAAATTCAAACTTGACCTGTGTTTTGTGGTAATAAGCATTGTGTATAAGTTTCATAACATTTGTTTGAGGCAAACTAAAGTAAGAGAATGGAAACGAAAAATTCAGCAATTTTTCCATTTGTAAAGGGGCATAACTCTAGAATGGTAAAAGTTACGCCACCAAAATTGAAACTGGATCTGTGTTTTGTGGTAATAAGCATTGTGTATAAGTTTCATAACATTAGGTTGAGGCATACAAAAGTTAGAGAAAAGAAATGAAAAATTCAGCAATTTTTCCATCTGTAAAGGGGCATAACTCTAGAACAGTAAAAGTGACGCCACCAAAATTAAAACTTAAAAACATTAGGTTGAGGCAAACTAAAGTTAGAGAACGGATACGAAAATTTCAGCAATTTTTCCATTTGTTAAGGGGCATAACTCTAGAATGGTAAAAGTGACACCACCAAAATTCACACTTGATCTGTGTTTTGTGGTAATAAGCATTGTGTATAAGTTTCATAATAATATTATTATTTGGTTGAGGCAAACTAAAGTTAGAGAAAGGAAACCAATTTTGGGACGTACGTACGTACCTACAGACGGACAAGGGTAAAACTTAATGCCCTCTCCTCTACGGCGGGGGCATAAAAATGTATTCTTGACAAGTGTGGTAATTCAAATACACATCATATTGCAACTTAAATATCAAAGCATAACATATCATCAATAAATTGAATGACATTGACTGAATAGGATCTAAATAATAATCAATTCACTGCACTATTTTGTTTGAACTATCAAAGGTAGTGATAAACCTTGCAAGATATAGTCTAGATATCAAGTCAGTACCATAGGGTTTTGATTGCATTTCATGCAATCTTTACACAAAGATCAGTTGAAAAGGACTCAACTCATCAGATCGATACAAAGCAGAAAAACATATAACAAAAACACAGACGTGGCAGGGTATTTATACATCTCCAACAACAAAAAAGACACAAAGTACAGATCTGAAAGTACTCACAGTTAATGACAAGAAGTTCAAATCCAATAACAACTAACAAAATCAAAGTGATCTGAAATCACTGATGGAAAGATTGGAAGAATTGTGTGTATAATTTCAATCATATTTTACCCTTCCATAGCAGTGGTGGTGGACAAGAAAAAGTTTCTATAGCACTATTGCATATTTGTTAATTACATTACTGCAGATTTTTTAGAAAGATAAGCAATTTTATGGTGGTCAATGTTGGTTGGTCACTAATTTGCATAATAACCTCTTTTAAATTGCAACTTAATATTTATATTTTTTGAAACAGATGAAATTACCTAACAAAAAAAAATATTGTAGTTTCTCAGTAACCTGGGACTATTGGATACAGAGACTTGCAACTAAGTCCCTTTTTTATCTCCCAAAATTTTACATTTATCTTATTTTTTGTTTAATGCAGTGTAAATCAAAAGTTATATTTAGGTAAATGATTAAAATCTATCATCCGTATTCAATTTTATTAAAGAAATGAACATTTAATATTTATGTCATGTATGTTAATCATATGTTCAAATGTATCTACTACACACGAAGACAGACACCACCTAATAACACTGACCTATATAGATCAAACATATAGTTAATACTAATGAGGTCAGGTTATTGTGTATTGAGTGGTCTGTTATGTTATGTATAAACTCAAGTTATGTAATTTGGTCAATTATGATTGGCATTAAAGAGGAGGGGTCTATATACAATTCCAATTATTGCCCCACCCTTTGTGTTTAATTGTTCTTTGATCATAACAGTTGTCAATCATACTGATATTGTATCAATACTCTTACTTAATCAAAAAGACAAAACTGGCCAGTAAATTGAAAAAAGTAATGACTATTATTCTTGAAAAAATGCTCTAAATTAAAAAACCTTAGTGAGCGCGCTCACATACCCCACGTCCCCACATTGTCACTGGAGAAATAAAATAACTGTAAGAAAAAAAAAATGTATAAGAAAAAAAAATTGAATCATAATTTCCTGTCGATATGCACATCTACATAGTATGTCCTTATTATCTACAAAGTTTCATGAAATTCTGTTGTGTGGGTTCAGAGGAGTTGCGATGACAAACTGTTGCAGAGGTATATTGAAGCAAATAAGTTCAAAGGGACGTAACTCCTAGAAAAAAATTTGAATCGTAATTTCCTGTTGATATGCACATCTACGTAGTATGTCCTTATTATCTGAAAAGGTATCATGAAATTCTATTGTGTGGTTTGAGAGGAGTTGCGATGACAAAAGGTTGCAGTAGTATATTGGGCAAATAAGTTCAAAGGGGCGTAACTCCTGGAAAAAAAAATTGAATCGTAATTTCCTGTTGATATGCACATCTACGTAGTATGGCCTTATTATCTACAAAGTTCCATGAAATTTTGTTGTGTGGTTTCAGAGGAGTTGAGATGACAAACTGTTGCAATAGTACATTAAAGAAAATAAGTTCAAAGGGGCGTAACTCCTAGAAAAAAAATTGAATCATAATTTCCTGTCGATATGCACATCTACCTAGTATGTCCTTATTATCTACAAAGTTTCATGAAATTCTGTTGTGTAGTTTCAGAGGAGACGCGATGACAAACTGTTGCAGAGGTATATTGAAGCAAATAAGTTCAAAGGGGCGTAACTCCTAGAAAAAAAATTGAATCGTAATTTCCTGTCGATATGCACATCTACGTAGTATGTCCTTAATAAAGACTCCTTATTATCTGAAAAGGTTTCATGAAATTCTATTGTGTGGTTTGAGAGGAGTTGCGATGACAAAAGGTTGCAGTAGTATATTGGGCAAATAAGTTCAAAGGGGCGTAACTCCTGGAAAAAAAATTGAATCTTAATTTCCTGTCGATATGCACATCTACGTAGTATATCCTTATTATCTACAAAGTTTTATGAAATTTTGTTGTGTGGTTTCAGAGGAGTTGAGATGTCAAACTGTTGCAGTAGTACATTAAAGTAAATAAGTTCAAAGGGGCGTAACTCCTAGAAAAAAAATTGAATCGTAATTTCCTGTCGATATGCACAACTACATAGTATGTCCTTATTATCTAAAAAGGTTTCGTTAAATTCTGTTGTGTGGTTTGAGAGGAGTTGCGATGACAAGAAACAGGACTGACAGACTGACGGACGGACAGACAGACGGACGGACAGATGGGTCAAAAACATTATACCCTCCGCAACTTGTTGCGTGGGGTATAATTAAGATTTTTTTACAACTCATTTGTGTATATGTATAGAGACATGAGAACAATTGGGAACTATATGTCAGTGTATATAGATTTAGTTACTAAATTAGTACTTTCTTTTTCGGAGGCCGGTGCCTTAGGAAAGAATTGGAACAACGGTAAACTTTATATTCATTTTATTTTCAACAAAAGTAGGGGTCCAGTAGCAATAGCTTATCGTACCTTGTCCTTTCTCTCTATCTGTTATAGTTTTAAAGATAATAACCAATAAAATGCTCCGCTGGGGCGCAGCTTGATACGACAGCAGAGGTCGAACCCTGAACAGTTGGGGCAAGTATGGACACAACATTCAAGCTTGATACAGCACTGAATTTGGATTGTAATTAAATATTTGACACAGCATAGGTTTCTGACACAGAATGAATGTGGTCTAAGAACTTAAATTTTTCAATTTACCTATTCAAACCATATCATTATTATTTGCTTTTATATATAAATCAGAAATAACCAATTTAAAATGGAAAATTTAAAAAAAAAAAAGGAAAAAAAAATCCCCCCCCCCCCCGCCCCCCTCAAATTTTTGGAACCCCCTTATGATTCATCACCCCCAAACTCCATCCCAGCCTTCCCTTTGTGGTATGGTACCTTGCAGTACAATTTCAGAGAGATCCATACACTTGAACACAAGTTATTGTCTGGAAACTAGAATAAACTGCTTCGCTGAGCGCAGCTAGATACGCCCGCAGAGGTCCAACCCTGAACAGTTGGGGCAAAAATGGACACAATATTCAAGCTTGATTCAGGTCTGAATTTGGATTG